GACATCATGAGCAACAAGGTTGCAGGATTATATAAGTAACAGGAGGAGAAAAACAAGTTCTTAAAGCAAACATTAATTTATAATGCAGTCAAAAGTGAGATGGTAGAGTTCACACTTTTCATCACTAGTAAATGACGTATGAGAGATGAAATATATTACGAGGAACCTGATGATTTATACATTTCACCTAGCATTGTTAAGATGGTTAAATTAAGGAGCTTATGACAGATCAGACAGCAAGAAATGTACCCAGAATTGTTATGAAAAGTAGTCACTTAGAACCAAGAAGGAGATAGAATGCTTTACAAACTCCCACCATCATGAATGAAATTTGTATTTCTTAGAACATACCCCAAACAATTCAGTTATCCCTTCACAGACTCGTGCTGGCTGGATATTAAGACTGACACAAAACTGATATGTAATCTTCACAATATCCTCTCTTGTCTTTCCTATATGGATGTAGTGCTGAAGCAGTCCAACACCTGAAATAGATTTACATCTCATTTATAAGCACTGCTTGCTGAGGCGTGGAAATCATCTCACTTATTTTCATCTATTGTGCCAATATAGCATTCACTCATACCACCATCTCACTATATTCTTAGAGCAAGATGGCACATAAAATTACAGTAAATGTTATTTTGTTACATTGTCCCTCTACAGTCTTTGAATAAATTATACAAGTACTAATAATTGGGAGGCTACGTCTGTTGAGAAGAGTGCATATTATGCAGGAATCAAAATTTTCAACAGTCTACCATCAAGTCTCACAAGTCTTGTAAATAAGATGGAGCAATTTAAGGTAGCATAGAAAAGATACTTAATTACACACTCCTTTTACTCTGTCAATGAATTTATGTTGTTTACAAATAAATGATAAATTTTCTTCTGTATGTGATGAGTAGATCTATTTGTAACTTATCATTTCTCTAGGTAAACCCTTTGTTTGTATTACGTGAAATTTATATAATAGTATGAATTGTACTTTATAATATGTATTGTATTATTATTATGACCTTTTCCACAATCTATTGTCATCTGACTATCTTATGGATCCATGGAATGTAATAAAATATGTATATATTGTTTGTACAACTTATTAAAACTTTACCAGATCTCATGAACTTCATAAAATTTACAGTATATCATACGTACATGATATACATGATACTTTGTATGGGGATTAAACTGATTATCTTACCCTAAGAGAAAAATATAAATTGAGGGTATCCTGATAACTGTGCAGCGAACTGTCTTAACCTATGAAAGGTGAAGTTACAGAAGACAATAGAGAAAATGTCATAAATAGCAGCTACATAATTTGAACACATCATCGAATATTACAGTAACAAAAACAAGAAGGATGAGATGGGGTAGACATGTGGAACAACTGGGGAGGTAAGTAACGTATATGAAAGTTTAGTCGAAAACCTGAATGTAAGAGACAATTTTGGAAAACCAAGGCCTATGCAGGAGGGAAACCTCAAACTGGATCATAAAAATATATAGTGTGAGTGAGTGCTCTGTATTTTGCAGCTCAAGATATGGCGCAGTAGAGGGATCTTGTGAACTAGGTAATGAACGTTTTGATTCCATAAAAAGGACAGATAATTTTTTAAAAAAATATGCTCATATTTCCTTTTGATCATTTATTTATCCAGAAGCATAATTACCTGCTTTGCAAGCTGTGCATGAAACTTTAGACATGACACTAGTTTCTACTTCTTGTACCACTTGTTTCAAGTTGAATAATCTCAGAGCTTTGTCCACAATCCTTGGTAGATGTCGACCACTTCTCAGATCTTCTTTTAATTCACTATCTAAATCATCTAGGAGCCGTGTGTAATTGATCTGAAATTATCAGAGAAAGCAGAAAACCAGTATTAATGAGAATAACCTCATGTCACTCTTCCAATACTGAAAACTGTCCTCAACCTTAAACAGAAACAAAAATGTACTGACACTGGTACCAATATCGGAATTCCAATTTGAATACTGAGGCACTCACTTTGAGAAGTTCAAACTGCCGATGTGTCTCCTCCTCCATCTCCTTGATTTGCTCTGGACTAGGTGTGGGTGGCAAGTCATGGCTGTAATTCTGGGGCATCAGTATGGCAGGAACTGAGCCATTGCTGAGCACACTATACCAACCTGCCCGTCCTCCTGTTACATCCCAATCATCATAATCTGCTGTCCACTCAGATGAAGATGGCACTGGGCTACCTGTAATGATGAAACGATGGACTCTATTTTGCTGATACTACCAGTCTTTTTTCTTGGAGTCTTGCCAGAATAATGAATACAAATTTTCCACCTGTTTCTCCCCAGCCAATTTTTTTTAAAATGGTATTTATAAAGTCAGTGAATTATGCAGACAAAATTTATACTCATAATAATAAATTAGTTAATATTTTGTGGATCAGCTGCTCTAATTGAAAATCCTATCTAGGAAAAGTTTTAGATTATATTACATTAGATTATATGCACTCCATAGATCCCACTTAATCACGATATAGAACAAGTGAGTTTACAATTAAACACAGTAAGGTTAAGTTTAACAATATACGTCCCATGCATAATCAATATACTCGACTTCTTTCAAGAAACATGTTTTGATGAGAGCAGGTGCAAGGGTGTTTGGCGCCCTAGGTGAAACGCCACCCCTGCGCACCCCCAATTAGGAACCAGTAATATATATTGCGCATGAGATTTATTTTACACTACAAAAATAAAAGAAAATTATATGAAAGTTCAATGGCATGGGCTTATACTTTACTCAAAATATGCATACATATAATTCATAACTTTTTGTTTCTCCCTTCCCGTTTTCTGACGCTTATGTTGTACTTCACACTATTTGAATTTAGTCTCGTTTGCCTACTCGTTAAACCTGCTACGACTACGAAACCCACGCCCATTTTTAATTTCCTAACATCATTTACACTACATACAACATTGTTTCCCAGAATTTCAGTTTGGTACGAAAGAGAGTTTGGGAGTGCTGGCTGCACATTCAAACACGTACGTAGGTTATCTACGATCACACAACTACCACTGTGCAGGAGTGAGCAATGTGTGACAAAAAAGAGTGAATTTCATTTCTAGTGCGGCGCAAGACACTTCCAAAATTCCGTTACATTTCTTCTTTTGTTTTATAACGGTGATATTAAAACCTGCAGGTACATTGGCCTGATTTACCTGTTGTGATTCTGACGAGCAGCACTACCGACACAAAGTAGTAGTACCATGGTCGGGAGAGGAACAGCATACTCGCCCAGTCTGTCGGACGAACCTCGCGAGCAGCGGTCACCAGCCTAGAACAGACAACACTCGTCATTACAGGCTTGCCATCAATCGGTCCCCTAACCCATCTCCCTCTAGTAAAATTTAGCATTACCCCAAATATCGACATATTTACGAGCGTTTCGTAAAATAAACGTTCTTGTTTGATTGTCTAATGCATGCGACATAGCCAGCCCTTGTTTTTTTTACCCTGATCTGACTAGTAGGAAAGTACGAACAAGAAAATTGCCCTTTTCTGATGGAAGTTTACCGACGTTTCAAAGGTCCTTGCTGCCTCCATCAACAGGGCAATACTCATCGTCCTGATAATGGAGGCAGCACAAATAAGTAATTGAATTAATGTTACATTATCATCAGGTGGTCAACAAAGGCTGTCTTAGTTCATCACTCAAAAATTCTACTCGCACAAGAACAACGATGTTGGCAAACAACTGGACAGCTGAGTCACCGGAATGTAAACGGAAGACTTTAGATCTCGCACATGTCGAAACAGTCGAAATGAAACAAAGCGGCGAGTCATTCACGCTATGACGAACAACAGCTGAGTTGCATTTCACTCTAATCCTTTTCCTGCATCCAAGTCGGCCATTTGACGCACATGGGGGAAATGAGAAATTCATACAAAAATTTACTCGGAGACCCAGGTACAGGCCTTAATGAGAGAAATACTGTGTAAGGGTGTGAATTACGTTTACCGCCTTGTAGCGCGTTCTTGAGTACATGGACCTGAGGTTTTCACGGCGGTGAGTCTGAAGTCTTCTGGGTTGCTGAGCCGTGTAGTCTGATAGACGTTTACCGATGTTTCAGAGGTCATTGCTGCCTCCATCAGGACGAGCCATCTTCACGGTAATGAATCTTTGAACCCGTAAAAGAAGGGGAATGTCTTTATCAACCGAGCAATACTCCATGATGACGTCGAATTGTACTTCATACCAAGGAACGGTCGCTGCCAATAATTGCCCGGTTTGATGTCTTTGTGTGCATAATTTGCGAGGAATAGCGAAAAGTTCGAGATAACCAACACTAAAATTAGTCAATGTTCTACAACACAATCCTCCCTGACGATTCATCTGGCAAGCCAGTTTTAAGACCTAATAATCATCCATCCTTCCAAAATATGCCCTCTGATTTATTTAATTCGTATTTGAGACGCACTACAAAATTTTATTCTTCGCTTGATCTGCAACATATCATCGTGTTTGTTGAGTATTATTATTATTAAGTGTTCTGTCTTACGACAGGTCCATTGCTCTGCCCAAAAAGAGCTCTCCAGTTGTCCCTATTCTCGGCTTCTCGCTTTAATTCCTGGAACGTCATCTTCTTTCCTTGTTTAAGGTCGTCGGTTAGCTGTATCAGTCTTCTTCCCAGTCCTCGTTTTCCTTCAACCTGGCCTTCGATGATATCACTCAGTAATCCATTCCTTCTCATAATATGTCCCAGCCAGTTAGCTTTCCTTCGTGTAATCGCCTGCAGAATGCTTCTTTGCTCGTTGACTCTCCTCAATACTTCTTTGTTGGTCGCTCGATCCGTCCACCTGATCTTCTCTATTCTTCTCCAACACCACATTTCGAAACTCTCCAGGTATTTCTGTTCCTTCTTCCTGAGTGTCCAAGTCTCTGCTCCATACGTAACACTTCACTAGTTTCTTCTTCATCTCCAAGCCCAACTTGCTAGTGAGAAGTATCCTCTTCTTGACGAAAGCTGCCTTGGCCATGGCTATCCTTGCTTTTACTTCCTTGGTGCATAGGGCGTCCGTCGTGACTATGCTTCCCAAGTACTTGAAATGCTGTTGAGTACCGCGACAGAAGACAGTCATATCGTTTGTTTGTTTGTTTGTTAGTCAGATTGAATGCGCGTCAGAATATTTGGCCATGTGCACCTGTACACAGTTTAGTCTTAAACGTAAGCTATGCCTCGTATAAAAATATTTAAAATTAAAGTGGTGCAGGCGTACATCTTTATGGGGTACTAAATCGAATTTTGATATGCAGTGAGAAAAACTGACGTGCAACCCAAAGTAGCAACTCCGGGACAACAGTGACCACAATGTAATTCACCTGACAATTCCCAGTGCGGACCCTTCAATATCAAATTTCATCGATATCCACTTAAATTAAACACGCGGAGTGGGATAATTTCCTCATTATGCGCTCATTTCATGCGCTTTACTCAACGAACGCAGTAAACTTCGAACTAGCGAGAGCTGCCGCACATTCTTGTTACGAGTATTATGAAAATAATAGGCAAGGAGCTGTTCTGGAAATGAACTAGTCAGTAACTTGACATACTTACGGGGAGGACAATCAGGATTAAATTCCCGACAGAGACAAACATTTTTTTCTAGCGGTTAGAACGCTGGCCTTGTAATCCTGGGGTCTCGGGTTCGATTCCCGGCGGTGCCCGAATTTATAACTTGTATTGGGCAAGGCCGTGGTCTAGGCAACACGGAGTTTTCCTCCGGGGGCTTCTCCGGTTTCTCCGTGGCATCCCAACAATTACTCCATTCACACACAGAAGAAGGCAATGGCAAACCACTTCTGGATCATCTGCCAAGAACGTATATGAACAGGTCCCAGTCCGAGAAAAGGATGGAAGGATCCTGTTCATATGGACCTGTCGTCAGACAGAACACTACAAATAAATAATAAAAAACAGGCTGGCTCTGGGGACCATCCGCCCTCCGGGGGGTCTTTCCTCCGAACTACAGCATAAAGACGTAAAATTGCCTACTACTTGTACACAACGTCGAAGGCTTAAAACTTGTTCTTCGGGTCAGTTCTTTCTAACTTATCATCAGACAGGACGAAAAAAGTTGGCAAACAATGTAATACTACAACACGGTCCTGTTATTTTACGGTAGCTCTAGCCAACGAGAGAGAGAGGGGGGGGGAGAGAGAGAGAAGTCTGCAATTAAACGTGCGACTCTCCATTACAGCTCTTGCTTGGTTTTGCATACTCCACATATGACCTCTCTAGAAGAGCTATCAACAAACTACAACACCCTGAGAGATCAGTTTCTGAGAGTGGAGTCAACCACTTTTACTGCGCAGCCAGAACTGTGTGGCCTCTTTAAAGTCATAGGACTGTACGTATCTCTTATCTGATGAGAACAGGGCATAATTCTAGGCGATATTTCAGATGATTACGGAGGCGAGAAAAAAGACGTCTTACCAATAAGCGCGGCTGAAAGCACCACCACTTCAATGCCTCTTTGATTCTCTGATATTAATTTTATGTGCGAATTATGAGATTTAGCATTCCATTCGTATCAAAGTCCTCCAAGTCCCAGTTTCAAACAGATCGAGGCCGGCAACCCGGCTGAAATCATTAGCTGAGAGTTCCTGCAGATAAAAAACAACAATGCACTATTGTTGGTAATTCTCACTCCTAAACGACTCTATTGTTTGTTAATGATTGATCTTGTAATTAGGAAGAAACGAAAGATAATAATTAAGTCAACCCAGCATACATTATGGTATGTTTGAACGAGTGAAAGTGTTCTTGAAGCTTTCAAGGATGAAAAGTATGATCACCCCAAATATAATTTCTTTGGAGAAAGTCATACAGTAGCGCACGCGACCGGACATTACTATGGCTAATACGTGACGTCACGAAACGTCTGTCCGAAGCGGGGAGGGTAATCAACAGGCATTCCGAAGGATCCATTCACCATTTCCTTAACCCTTCAAAGTTTTTAATTAAATTTCTTTCTTGAGGGAGTGGCCAGGTGGGCCAACATACATTATAAATCCCATGGAACAGAATCCATGAATAGCTGATAGTCGCTCAGTTGGTCCGTAAATGTTTTGTGTTTGATGGGATCAGAAGTTTATTATCTTCATGTTTTTTTTTAAATCCTGAAACACCGAAAGTAAAGCTGACTCGCGCTTTGTTTTAGGGAAATGAATTCGGGTGAGACGAGACGGCCATTGTCGGCCATGAAACACAGAAACTGGTTAGGTCACTGTGTATATGTGTTCTGCACACTGCGATGTAATCCGTTACCTGGCGACCTTAAAAAAACAGACAACACTCGGACGACGGGAAGAAACGTTAAGTTCCATTGGCTGGCAAGACTAAATCAGTATTCACTTAACCACGATCAGCTGTAATTGGAACGCGAGTCCCAACCCCCCCCCCCCCCCACGGCGGGGCGGGGGTTAACGTGCAGACTTTTCTCCTCGTCACATTTGTCCAGACCGCCTCCGGTCCCACCAACTCTCAACTGCCAGAGTTTCAAATTTATTTATTCTTACCCTTTTCACGACGTTTTATATTGGTTATGTTATACAGAACCGAATAGCAAATGATTAACTGGAAAGGATCTTCTGAGTAAAATTTACTTTTACATATCCTCGCCTCATGAAGAGAAATCGAATGGATTAAGATCGGATGAAGAAAATTTGGTCCAGTCACTTACTCGGAAACTGGGCATTCAATGATTATCACAAAGCGTTACCGAAATATGGCGTCTTGCCGGAAGATGATGTTAACACGTCTCTCAAGCTACGGAAAGGCATCATTTTGTATCAATTCCAAATGCATGTAGCGAAGAAAACAGACTTAACACTTCTGTGCTTGTGACAGTTAATCACAAATGAACCTTATAAGTTAGATTAATTATTCGGTTTTGTCCGTCTAATCACAATTATATGGATATGAACATCACCAGAAAACATCACCAAAAAGCTACACAACAGAAATTGTAATTGAGTTTTAAGTTTGTTGATATAATTTTACACCTAAAGATGGTTCGATGAAACCGAAACATGTTGTAAAAATGTTCCAAATGCAAATCGATTATTCGATGTGGAACATAAAATGATATTTTAATTATCTTATTTGTAAAATTTTAAATATAATTGTGATTAGACGGACAAAACCGAATAATTAATTTAATATTTGATTCACAATATGACGCAATTATACTATCTTATAAGTTAGGTAAAAATATTTTCTATCATCGGCATTTTGTATTCATCCACTCTTAATTGATGTCTTAGCAACGTTA